GATTACCTTTCTTGTAATCAAGATGTAATCATTCGAAATCTATTCGACCACGCCCATGGTATTTAATTGTTCACAGTCAGAATTCCTACACTGAGTCAAACATTTCCTAATATGTACATTATATTTACTTGAGAGAAGTGAATCATTTTCAATTGCTTAAATCTCAGAATGTTTGCGCTCCATGGAATTCGAATAAGTTCTTATTTATATCATGAATTAAATGCAGGCCACAAAATCGGAAGGGCATAAAAGAATTATGGAAACAATAAATACTTGAAGATTGACGATTCTTCTACGCACCTTGAGTGAGTTCATCTGTGAATCATTCTTCACTAAGAAGACAAGAGTTTTTTTAGAAGTACGTCTATACTTGTATCAGGAAATTCAGTACCGAAGCAGTTTTGGAGGAATATCTTCGAATCTAAGGGAAATGGCGAAATTGTCGTAAAAACCTTTTTTTTTCTAAGGAAGATAGCGAAATTTTTGTCATAATCTTTTTTTGTAGAGCGAGTTGAGTGCTATAAAAAGGTTATAACAAACATTTTGCTATCTCTCTTAGATTTCGAGATATTCATTGAAAACTGGCCAATAGTCGAAATCGACTTAAACCGTTTTGCCGCTTCGCTACTGAATTCATGGCTCAAAAATTACCAAGCGCACAATATTTCGCACACTGATAGACTGATTCATTTATTCCAAATGAGATTCATTAACTATTAACGAATGGTAGAGTTGAATATGACCAAATGAATATTCGTTGATAGTTAACGAATGGTTCACTTGAAAAGTGAAAATCGCGTCAAACAAGGCTCCTCAAATGTGCATTTGTCAACAATTAACGAATGAATATTTGGTGAGACCAAATAGACCCTCATCTCCAATCGAATCCATTCGCTACCAATAACTAAACTTTTCTATCAGCGCACTAAGAAAAAAAAATCTTATGCCAAGAAATTTTATATTTGTCCGAAAGATGAGGGCAATTGGTTCATATCAAGAAAACGAGTTCTCAAATCAATTCAAGTAGTTTTTGCATTAAAATATTTTAGAATTCAGGCTAAGAAACTATCAAATGAAGTAATTCAATTTCCTTGGTATGAGAAATGGCTTTCTCATCATCAAGAAATTGTCCTCGTCTTTAGAACCAGTACAAAACTTCTTGGCAAAAGTTGTTTCTCGTGCAAGTTATTTTGCTCTTGAAAATTTCCAAGCCACGAGTTTCTTGATATAAGTGTAGCTGCAATCAATGGAATCACTTGTAGTGGTAATAACTGTGATCATCGATCACTATAATCAGAGCTGTAATCACGTATCTAATCGATTACATTTCGTCATCATGGTATCACTCAATTCGAATATGAATAGCCCCTCGGATGAAGTTTTTTTACATGGAAATGTATAAAAATGGCCTGATCACTAATTCTTAATTCTGATTGGTCAATGAGGCCCCATTAAGCAAAGGAACGTTAAGGAATTAATTCTTGATACGTTTGAGGTGATATGTTTTCGCGGAACGTTTTAGATATGTTTCAGGGATCATTTCCACAAATATGTATCGAAAATTCGTAGATGACATATCCCAGAAATGTATAAGAACAGAGCTATGGGATTATTTGAAATTTTTTTTTTCAACTTTCTTATTTCATGCGTTAGGAGATCGTAAGAAAGTCAATTTTATTTCAATTCCTGGAATTATATTGAGTCGAATTATTAGTAAATATTTGTCAATGAATGGGTAATGTGTGAGATGAATAAATTTCAAGATCAATTTTTGATATTTGTGATCAACAAAAATTTACGAAGATAAATTTGGATGATGCAATATATTTGACCGTTGAAGAGTTTACAATTTTTGATTGAATAATTCTTTGCGACGAATTCGAATGATTATTTTAATAATTAATGTTCAATGATCTCGTAATTGAAACTTTTTGGTGCCGATTGCTACGCATTTCCTGATCCTAGTAGTTTATTACCTTTATGAAAACATCAAATACAGTGAGATTATACTCGTGAGATTACTTATTATTGCATTAATTGTTCTTCTCGTCATTAATTTTGTCATTATTCCCCAATCGGCTTTCCTAAACTAGTTGACAATATTTTTCCACAAAAATAAATGACCTTGAATGAATTTCGTTAATAATTATTAACATTTCGAATTATATTAAATTATTTTACCCAAGAAAATCTAGAATATGAAAAAAATTACGAAAAATCAATGGCATTCATTTAAAGTCATACGTAGCATCATAGTTGTACTCGCGATGTTAACTGGGCGTGAGGCGGCGCTGATGCTTCAACATGGCCGCCATGAAACAGTTCGAATTAAATCAACAAAAGTGGTATTATAGGGGAAGGTTCGCATTGATACACAAAATTGAGGCTTGTCCCTGATTCGATTAATTATACTTTTCAATAATAAATGGATTTTTACTCCATTGATCCTTTTAGGACCTGAAAGTGTGACTGAAAATTTTCAATTGGAACATTTTATGTCGGCCATCTTGTTAGCTTCAGTGCCGCCACTCGTAAATGTAACATCGCGAATAGTACTACACAATTCTAATACTTGCAACCTGACTTGGATCACCTGAAAATGACTTCCCTAAAGAAATATGCTTCTGAAAAACAATTTCTTCTCTCAATAAAACGATTTCTTGACAAAAATAGTTTTTTCTCCGTGTATTGTGATAAACTTGATGTTCAACCGTTATACTGACACGAACAACTTCAATGATTCATTCGATTTGTTGATAAAGAATGCTTATACAACTGTTGATATGCATTACTCATGTGTCTGCTCTGTAAATAATGTAGATTATAGTTTTTCCGCTCCTTTCGCCACCCCTGACCTTTCATTCGTAACGTGATTATGTAAAATAATAACTTGCAGAACTACTTATTTTTAGAGACACTATTTGTACTACATTCAATTTTGTGTCTATTCTGGCTGTTTATTCCTATACCAACAGAAAGCCGCTTATTTTTCACATTTACGAACACATTCTCTGTCGAATGTTACCGATATTTTGCAAAATCGAAGTACATTAATCACCAGTAAATGATGATGAAGATCAATGTGCGTTGATTTCGAAAAATATTAACCCCTCACGGACAGGGCCCTTTTGTTTCTAAACATGGAGTACGTTCGATACAAGTAAAATGTAATGACTCCTAATCAACGGAAAATTATGAAACCGATATGTAATTGAAGCTACAGCATTCCTTTTTTCGTTGTTATATTTATTTGGTTGAGTTAAATTCCATAGTTTTGAAAACAATCAATTTTAAAGGGAGTCATTCATATTTTCATGGGTCTATGCGTGGCATCGACTCCGTATGTGAGAGGTTAATACCATTGAACAGAAAAATTGTTTGAAAATTTTGAAGGGACGATAGCTTTCTGTTATGCCTAAACCCTAGATTGGTCACCATATGAGGGAAAACATTGACTGGATAACCGGAATTTTTTTTTTAAATTGACTTTTTCAATTGAAGTGTATAACACATTATAGTGATTTTAAAACAACATAATTCACAAAAATTCAAAAGAAGATAAATTATTTCCAACCGACAAATTGTTCTCCCATATTAAATGAAATGGTCCGTCACGCAACGTTGTCGAATTTACTCTACACTGCCCGGGCGCGTTTAGCGTATTTTCGGCAACGTTAACCCTTTAGTGGTCGCGCTATGAGCTTAGCGCCGTTGATTTTTTATTTTGTATTTTCACACAAAAACTTTGGGGGTGAAAAATCCAGAAAAATTTGAATTCCTACTTTCAATTATATCAAATGAATTGAGAATTTTTTTTTTGAGCCATACTTGCGCCATTGAATTATTACAACCTTTTGAAAACTCGACTCGCCGAAATTTCCCGTGTTTAACCTCAAAATGTCAAAGTTTTGCACGAAATAAAATCGAGTTCTGGATTTATCTAATGCCTATTTTTCTCTTAGATTGCTATTTCCTATTCATTGAAGGTTCGAAATTCCCCTGTAAACGAGAAATAAGTGATTTTCTTCAACTTTTTTTTTATGAAATCGTAAAATACACGCGATGGCGCTGCCTTTAAGGGGGTCTTTGTTTTTTCCGGGGTCAAAAAATAGATTTTTTTTTACATTTTATTATTCTACCACTATTTCACAATATTGTAGAGAGAGCATTTTTCAGAAATTCCAAATATTGACAGAACTACAGGGCCCCAACGCCGAGCGCGTGCAGGTAGGCAGGTGCACTATGGTTGCAGCGCAACAATAGAGTCTTTCAGCGCTGTTAGAGATGTGCGAAATTGGATTATAGGCGAGAGGTGCTGCTTTGGAAAACTGTTGACATTTGATAGTGTTCATACCTGTGTCTTTCAAATTAGTTTGCAATGAGTTTTCTTAATAGACTTCAGTTCATTGCGCACCCTCGAATGGAGTAGTTGATTTTTCCCAGGTGGGAATTGACAACAGGGCCAGGCTAGACCCGAGCTTGGTTCAAGGCTGCGCGAGCCCGGCCAGAAAGTGGTTTGTTAGCCTGGGTCGGGCTTGGATGAACTCTGGGATGTAACACCATTGCGGGCCTGCGAGCACTGGGCTCGGCCGAAGTGTGTAAACAAGTAATGGCCAAAGTTTGAAGTAAAAATCTGGCCCTGGCTAATACAAGCTCTAACCGGGTCCAGGCAGAGCTTGTATTTAACAAATGAATGCTGATCGCGGAAATTAAAAATCCAATTTTCTTTCGTTGTAACATATTCGTGTATGTTTCCATTTTTTCATGTACACTAAATCATACAGGATAAACCAAAAATTATGCTTCAAGTGCTTGAACATTTTATGAATATAGGAACTCAGTATAACTCTTTTTTCAATAAACTTATCGATAACAAACCAAATAGAAAGATATTTTCAAAATCATTATCTTAAAATACTCTAAATCAACTATTTCCTAGATAATATTTCAAGTATATAAACTTTTTGAGAAGAAAACAAAATTAGACATCCCGAATTCAGTGTACCTTGTTTCAATCAACTTAACGAGGAAAAATACAATAGATTATACTCTGAATTATTAGCTTGGAAGACTTTGAATTGAGGTTGATGACTTTCAGATTTTTTTCGTATAAATATAGTGGGGAAAAAGCTAATGGTTGAACCGAATACCGCGACGATTATTCTTTGTTCTGTGTTGCCTGCTCCGCACGTCCACCTTCACAATCAGAAGCTCCTGACAAAAACTGGCTGGTGATGGATAGGACCTTCATTTCCTTGGTGGATTTTCCATACTTTTCCATGAGGAACTCTGTAGAAAGACAAACGAAATTTAGGAGTCAATTTGAGGAATATGGAAATTTCACAAAATCTCAACAATGAAGTTAACAAACCATTCATGCACTTGTATGTGAACGTCGCGCTGAAATTTTTCTTCCCTACACCACGTACTCTGCGACCAGCGCCACTGTACTCTAATTGAACCGTTTTGGTAATTAATAAACCAAGAAGTATCTTCACGTCTGTTGATGGATCTGTGGAGCCGGATGTTTCAATCGTCATGTCCTGTTTCTGAAACCGATAGAAATTCAATGAGAAATTGCGAACATGTCCTGAATTTCATGTGAAAGAGAAAAGATGATTACAATGAACTTACCAGAGCTGTCACTTTGTCAGTCACTCCCTCAGGTTTCTCTCGATTTTCTTCGGCCTGCGGATCTAGAGATTTTTCCCATTTTTCAAAATCTCCTGGACTCTTCATGGGCAAAGTTGTTCCCAGCTTGTCGAGCAGTTTGGTGGTCGACTCTTTCTGGATGAGTGGACGTATGATGAACGATTCTTTCAATTCATTCTTGGTCTTCTTCAAATCATATTGATTCGATCGTCTCTGGTTCTCCAAGTCGCCTCTAAACTTGTAGACGAGTAAGTTCATCGAAGCGTCGAAGTAGTCAACAAAAAATTCTGCAAATTAAAGCACTTTAATATTCATCGCACGCATCTTTCAAATATTTACATGAGATCAAACTTACGTTTCATCGGATCATCACTTGCTTCTTCTCGCAGTTTGACAAGACGCTCTGTCAACTCGGCTTTCTTTCCCATTTTCAACGAACCAGCGTTTTCATCTAGAAGATTAATTAACAATAAAAATGTGATTGGATTCGGAAAATTAGAATCTCTTGTTTTAAAACTTACGTGTTGGTTGAGGTACATCAGATGACTTGGGTGTTCTGACTGGTGGGGGAGCAGTAGGCAATTGTGTTTCCCCTGGCTGATTGTCAGTGTGGAACGATTCTGATAAGACATCGTCTCCTCCTTCCGGAATATTTTCTAGAGGATTCAACGAAAAAACAGTTCCCATCTCGGATGCGGCACGTTTCTTTGAGAGCTGAACTACTCGTTTAACTGGGTTCTCGGTTTCAGAATCCGTTGATCCTAAATCTGAAGTTCTCAAACTTCTTCTGTGCCTTTGTGTACTTCACTGTTAAACCGAAATCAAGGATTTTATACGGTTGCTAGTAGTTTCTAATGGCAGAAAATGAAAAATTTACCTGCACTACCCAGAATGGTTACCTCTAATTTTTCCCATGAAGTTTTTGGCGAAATCTCGTTCCTCACCCATTTCTCCAATTTGTTATAATCTGTGTGTGGTGGGAAGCAGCACATCCCTCTCTCTTCAATTTTGTCTGTCACCCAAGACGAAGGGACAATTTCAACCACTTTTTTGCCGTTCGGCGTCTTCTCCGAACTGCGAAAATGATACTTAGAATCTGGTTTACTCATCCTACAATAAAAAAAATCAAAATTGAGAAAAAATGANTTAGAGATGTGCGAAATTGGATTATAGGCGAGAGGTGCTGCTTTGGAAAACTGTTGACATTTGATAGTGTTCATACCTGTGTCTTTCAAATTAGTTTGCAATGAGTTTTCTTAATAGACTTCAGTTCATTGCGCACCCTCGAATGGAGTAGTTGATTTTTCCCAGGTGGGAATTGACAACAGGGCCAGGCTAGACCCGAGCTTGGTTCAAGGCTGCGCGAGCCCGGCCAGAAAGTGGTTTGTTAGCCTGGGTCGGGCTTGGATGAACTCTGGGATGTAACACCATTGCGGGCCTGCGAGCACTGGGCTCGGCCGAAGTGTGTAAACAAGTAATGGCCAAAGTTTGAAGTAAAAATCTGGCCCTGGCTAATACAAGCTCTAACCGGGTCCAGGCAGAGCTTGTATTTAACAAATGAATGCTGATCGCGGAAATTAAAAATCCAATTTTCTTTCGTTGTAACATATTCGTGTATGTTTCCATTTTTTCATGTACACTAAATCATACAGGATAAACCAAAAATTATGCTTCAAGTGCTTGAACATTTTATGAATATAGGAACTCAGTATAACTCTTTTTTCAATAAACTTATCGATAACAAACCAAATAGAAAGATATTTTCAAAATCATTATCTTAAAATACTCTAAATCAACTATTTCCTAGATAATATTTCAAGTATATAAACTTTTTGAGAAGAAAACAAAATTAGACATCCCGAATTCAGTGTACCTTGTTTCAATCAACTTAACGAGGAAAAATACAATAGATTATACTCTGAATTATTAGCTTGGAAGACTTTGAATTGAGGTTGATGACTTTCAGATTTTTTTCGTATAAATATAGTGGGGAAAAAGCTAATGGTTGAACCGAATACCGCGACGATTATTCTTTGTTCTGTGTTGCCTGCTCCGCACGTCCACCTTCACAATCAGAAGCTCCTGACAAAAACTGGCTGGTGATGGATAGGACCTTCATTTCCTTGGTGGATTTTCCATACTTTTCCATGAGGAACTCTGTAGAAAGACAAACGAAATTTAGGAGTCAATTTGAGGAATATGGAAATTTCACAAAATCTCAACAATGAAGTTAACAAACCATTCATGCACTTGTATGTGAACGTCGCGCTGAAATTTTTCTTCCCTACACCACGTACTCTGCGACCAGCGCCACTGTACTCTAATTGAACCGTTTTGGTAATTAATAAACCAAGAAGTATCTTCACGTCTGTTGATGGATCTGTGGAGCCGGATGTTTCAATCGTCATGTCCTGTTTCTGAAACCGATAGAAATTCAATGAGAAATTGCGAACATGTCCTGAATTTCATGTGAAAGAGAAAAGATGATTACAATGAACTTACCAGAGCTGTCACTTTGTCAGTCACTCCCTCAGGTTTCTCTCGATTTTCTTCGGCCTGCGGATCTAGAGATTTTTCCCATTTTTCAAAATCTCCTGGACTCTTCATGGGCAAAGTTGTTCCCAGCTTGTCGAGCAGTTTGGTGGTCGACTCTTTCTGGATGAGTGGACGTATGATGAACGATTCTTTCAATTCATTCTTGGTCTTCTTCAAATCATATTGATTCGATCGTCTCTGGTTCTCCAAGTCGCCTCTAAACTTGTAGACGAGTAAGTTCATCGAAGCGTCGAAGTAGTCAACAAAAAATTCTGCAAATTAAAGCACTTTAATATTCATCGCACGCATCTTTCAAATATTTACATGAGATCAAACTTACGTTTCATCGGATCATCACTTGCTTCTTCTCGCAGTTTGACAAGACGCTCTGTCAACTCGGCTTTCTTTCCCATTTTCAACGAACCAGCGTTTTCATCTAGAAGATTAATTAACAATAAAAATGTGATTGGATTCGGAAAATTAGAATCTCTTGTTTTAAAACTTACGTGTTGGTTGAGGTACATCAGATGACTTGGGTGTTCTGACTGGTGGGGGAGCAGTAGGCAATTGTGTTTCCCCTGGCTGATTGTCAGTGTGGAACGATTCTGATAAGACATCGTCTCCTCCTTCCGGAATATTTTCTAGAGGATTCAACGAAAAAACAGTTCCCATCTCGGATGCGGCACGTTTCTTTGAGAGCTGAACTACTCGTTTAACTGGGTTCTCGGTTTCAGAATCCGTTGATCCTAAATCTGAAGTTCTCAAACTTCTTCTGTGCCTTTGTGTACTTCACTGTTAAACCGAAATCAAGGATTTTATACGGTTGCTAGTAGTTTCTAATGGCAGAAAATGAAAAATTTACCTGCACTACCCAGAATGGTTACCTCTAATTTTTCCCATGAAGTTTTTGGCGAAATCTCGTTCCTCACCCATTTCTCCAATTTGTTATAATCTGTGTGTGGTGGGAAGCAGCACATCCCTCTCTCTTCAATTTTGTCTGTCACCCAAGACGAAGGGACAATTTCAACCACTTTTTTGCCGTTCGGCGTCTTCTCCGAACTGCGAAAATGATACTTAGAATCTGGTTTACTCATCCTACAATAAAAAAAATCAAAATTGAGAAAAAATGAAAATTATTAAAAAATAACATGTTAAATATCATGATAGATCATTATTTGGAATTATTGAGAGTTTATTCTTTACATGAATTGATTAACTGGAAATTTCTCCCACGTTTGATCATCAGTTTTTAGGTTATTTGTGATACTATTTGTGGAAGTCACTGACAAGAAAAAAAATGACAAATACATGGCTATTAAATATTGTTTGTAGAAAATCCATTGCAAAATTTACTTACGTGTGAAGCTTTGTCTGTCGATCGTTAATAACCTCTTATTGATGAACAACAAGTCAGTATCTGCGTGCCGCCCACACCGTCTGATGCCAAAACCAAGAAAATAACCTCGTCAAGAAATATCGAGTTGATTCTGATCACTTTGAACTTGGATTCATTAGTTTATAATATATTCTCTACCGGAAAACTTCGAGAATACGCAGAGGACATGTGTCAACAACGCACCCCGCCAAAAAACTAAGATGGCGTCCTGTGGCGTGGCAAAACGGTTGCGTCACCCAGCGCCAAAAGTTGATGAAACGATCGTCGTTCTCTAGCTAAAAAATTATTCAGTTTCAACTTTTTCCTAATTTTTAACAATATTCAAGAAACTGAGTAGTCTGAATGTGTTACCGCTGCACGTCCACACGAAACTGAGGAGAAGTGCTACCCCCCCTCACTTCCTCGCGCCGCCATTCAGTCCCCTCCACTTCTACGCTTGCTTCGTGGAATTCCGTCCACCACGATAATACCCGGTGCTGCGGCTACGTTCACACTCACTCACGTTGACAANAAATACTCTAAATCAACTATTTCCTAGATAATATTTCAAGTATATAAACTTTTTGAGAAGAAAACAAAATTAGACATCCCGAATTCAGTGTACCTTGTTTCAATCAACTTAACGAGGAAAAATACAATAGATTATACTCTGAATTATTAGCTTGGAAGACTTTGAATTGAGGTTGATGACTTTCAGATTTTTTTCGTATAAATATAGTGGGGAAAAAGCTAATGGTTGAACCGAATACCGCGACGATTATTCTTTGTTCTGTGTTGCCCGCTCCGCACGTCCACCTTCACGATCAGAAGCTCCTGACAAAAACTGGCTGGTGATGGATAGGACCTTCATTTCCTTAGTGGATTTTCCATACTTTTCCATGAGGAACTCTGTAGAAAGACAAACGAAATTTAGGAGTCAATTTGAGGAATATGGAAATTTCACAAAATCTCAACAATGAAGTTAACAAACCATTCATGCACTTGTATGTGAACGTCGCGCTGAAATTTTTCTTCCCTACACCACGTACTCTGCGACCAGCGCCACTGTACTCTAATTGAACCGTTTTGGTAATTAATAAACCAAGAAGTATCTTCACGTCTGGTGATGAATCTGTGGAGCCGGATGTTTCAATCGTCATGTACTGTTTCTGAAACCGATAGAAATTCAATGAGAAATTGCGAACATGTCCTGAATTTCATGTGAAAGAGAAAAGATGATTACAATGAACTTACCAGAGCTGTCACTTTGTCAGTCACTCCCTCAGGTTTCTCTCGATTTTCTTCGGCCTGCGGATCTAGAGATTTTTCCCATTTATCAAAATCTCCTGGACTCTTCATGGGCAAAGTTGTTCCCAGCTTGTCGAGCAGGTTGGTGGTCGACTCTTTCTGGACGAGTGGACGTATGATGAACGATTCTTTCAATTCATTCTTGGTCTTCTTCAAATCATATTGATTCGATCGTCTCTGGTTCTCCAAGTCGCCTCTAAACTTGTAGACGAGTAAGTTCATCGAAGCGTCGAAGTAGTCAACAAAAAATTCTGCAAATTAAAGCACTTTAATATTCATCGCAAGCATCTTTCAAATATTTACATGAGATCAAACTTACGTTTCATCGGATCATCACTTGCTTCTTCTCGCAGTTTGACAAGACGCTCTGTCAACTCGGCTTTCTTTCCCATTTTCAACGAACCAGCGTTTTCATCTAGAAGATTAATTAACAATAAAAATGTGATTGGATTCGGAAAATTAGAATCTCTTGTTTTAAAACTTACGTGTTGGTTGAGGTACATCAGATGACTTGGGTGTTCTGACTGGTGGGGGAGCAGTAGGCAATTGTGTTTCCCCTGGCTGATTGTCAGTGTGGAACGATTCTGATAAGGCATCGTCTCCTCCTTCCGGAATATTTTCTAGAGGATTCAACGAAAAAACAGTTCCCATCTCGGATGCAGCACGTTTCTTTGAGAGCTGAACTACTCGTTTAACTGGGTTCTCGGTTTCAGAATCCGTTGATCCTAAATCTNTTTTAGTTTCCGAGGAAAAAATGAAGCTAATGCGAAGTAAAAATTTTCTGCGCCAGAACACGAGACATTGTGATGTTGAACAACCCACTAGTGACCCACTGTTACACAAAATACGGGAAGCCACACAGAGCAACAAAAAATGTTGATATCTTTCAGCATCAAGAGTAGGTTTTAACATAATCGCACCTGCGTATAGTAATAGAAAGGAAAATTGAGTCGCCTTCCAGTGGGAAAACTCATCTGCATCGAACACCTTGCATTGAAATTCTGAAGGAACCGAGGGCGTCACAGAGTCCATGAGTGTCTTGAACAGACGAACCTGCGTCAGTGGCAATTTGTGCTCATTTTTCTCACGTTTAAACCATTTTTCCCCCAAATTCTTCATCACATTCAAGAAGAGGAGATGCATTATTTCGAGAGGAAATTGTCTGATTGGATCAAACCCTGGTATCTTTATCAGTGGTGATACAAGTCGCTGTTTTGTCTCTTTACATTGTAAATGATGTCCAACTTGAGCTTGAGTTACAAAGGCTGCTTTTGTCCTAAATGAGCAGCCCAATTGAGGATAAACTCTCTTTCTGTTCACTGTCAGGCCTTCAACGGTGCATCTCTCACAACCAAAAAAACCAGTTGGTCCCTTTATACACTTCAAGAAAGCTCTAGCCAAACTATTCGCGATCACCGCGACGATGCTAAACTTATACATCCGTCCACCGATGTTTACACCCTCGTTTATTAATTTTGTCACTTCAGCAACAAAATCCTGCAGGAACTCACAAATATATTTTGGTTTGTAGTCACCGTAATACGACCCCACTACGAAGGGAGTCACTTCGTATTTTGGATTGTGAATTTTTAGTGCAATAGGCCACAATTGTCCTTTGGAGTGGTGGTATACTTTCATACCATCAATGTGGACGAGGACGCCAATCCCCTCTCCATCAAATACGTCTGGCACTATCCGATTCTGCAGTCCATTCTTGATTCCGAGATATATGTAATCACCAGTCGTGTTTTTAGCGGCTTCTAACTTTTTAGTTTTGATGCGATGCTTGAACCCCAACAGTTTATTTGCATTTGAAGGCAGTTGTGGGTAGCCTTCACTAATCAAAATTTGCAGAAATTGAGTTATTACTTTTAATTTAACACCACCTATATTGTTTATGGCAAGTTCTCGGATTTGTTTTTTTATACTTGGTGGTGATGTATTCAGCGGGGCTGGGTCTTGTGCTTCTGCATTTGGGTCCTCCTGGATGACATGGACTCCTGGACTTGTAGGGCTGTCAGAGTTGTTTGCGGTTCTATAATCAGCGTCGGATATGAAGGGCAAATTTTCTGAAGAATTCTCAATCGAACTATCTTGTGAGAATGTAAGAGCTTCGTGCGAATCTATCAGATTTATTTCTTCCCTGTCAGACGTTTCTTGGAGGTTAGAACCTGTCGAAGTGGTTGGAAAACAATCACTTCCATCGCCTGACAAATTTGATATTTGTTCATCATCACTGCCGTTAAATATATTATCTACATCACGTTGTCGCAATTTTTTCAAAAAACGACACTTTTTAACTCTTTCTTTCGATTTTCCAAATTTGCGAACATTAGGGGTCATGACTGGACGATGCAACTTCAGCGAACTTTTCAACTCAACCACGATAGAGGGCACCAGTGCGCCTCAAGGGGAACTGCAGTTATTTTTTTTCAATTTTTTTTTCAAACTTTTTCAAGCAGGGGAAAAGACCTTGGCCATTGACTGGGTTTAACATTGGGTCTGGCCAGAGCCAATCTGGACTGCCCAAGGCTTGGCAAACAAGCCTGCGCCCAGGTTGGCCCAGTTGTTGAGGCTTGGGGATTCCGACCTGGGATTACCTAGTGGATATCTAGTTTCGATCTCCTGAAGAAATCTGGCAGAGCATTAACAGCTGCATTCAGTCAAAACATCATCTTTCTTCCGAGCCGAAATCCGATAATTGTCCAATAAATGAGAGAAATGCGGGCAAAGTGACGGTGATTATTTTCAAGATTGAATCTGTATCAATTTTTTTATTTTATAAATATATTTCAAAATTGTCGAAAAAAGCCGAGAATTAATTTATACACCCAATACTACTATGNGTAGTACGACTCTCGAAATAGAAATGGACAGAAAAGTATCCCGGGCAAATCCGAATAATCCTTCGCGTGCGAAAAAACGTAAATTCCGTGGCAATCAGTATACCAAAGTAGGTACTACATCATTCGTAAGTGCATCAGCAGCTAAACTAAGGAAGAGAGCCGCTGAAAAATTCGATATCACCGACAATAGTCATTATTGTCTGATTAACTTTATGACAGTTTTTTCCGCTTATTAGTAGTGCAGTAATTTGCAAAAATTGTGAGGATGACATAAACTTTTCGAAAGGTTCAATTCGTGGTTTGGGATTTCGTATTGTTCTGCAATGTAAATGTGGCAAAAAAGACGTACCTTCTAGCCCAATGATAGACAGCAAATATGAAATAAACCGTCACATAGTTTTTGTGTTTCGACTTCTTAGTGTGGGTTTGGAAGGTCTCAATCGTGCACGAATTGCCAAAAATCCAGAAAAATGTGCAGAACAGGATTTTTTCGAAAAAGAAGAAGGGGCATTGTATGGCGCAGGAATTGCTGATTGAGTGTAAGTGTTAATTTTTCTTTTGTTCAATAATATCTCCGTGAATGGAGTACCAAGCGCTCACCGTCTTTTCCTCCCTGGCACGAGAGTGCCTGGCGCACCTTATCCGGAAGTTCAAAGGCGATTTTCTCGGAACTAAAATTCCGGAAATTTCTCATGACTTTTTACAGAATATTTCAGAAAGTTAATCCCCAATCGATTTCAAATTTTTACCACCTATTTGACATCTACAGAGTTTTCTCGCCTACCACGCTCAGAATAATAGCTTCAATAATTTTAATTTTTATTACAAAGTGTAGGCCCGAATTTTCCCGGGAAAACTAGGCCTTATCCGAAAAAGCAGAATTTTTATTTGTTTTTTCAATTTATTTCATTTATTCTGCTAGGGGACGAAGCCAGATGTTTGCTGAGTACTAAAACATGCAATTTTCTTATTTCAGATGTGTTGGAACCTCGAAACTTAATTTTCAATCATTCAATCAGTATTGGGGCCCGTCTACTTCATCATCAAATAATTAATTGCAGATTGTCCGGGAGGATGAAAAGTTTTGTTATTTCACTAGTAGAAAGATAATAAAAATTACCTAAAAAAAAATCAAATTAGTAACTTTTTTTTTCATATGAAATAAAAATTGTGGAAAAGTTGCCATTTTCGCCGCCCGGAAAAGTGCAGACCCCCTTAACGGAGTCTGCGCAGTTGCGATGGGCGCGCGGGTGAGTGGAGTGTAAAATAATCAAGTTAGGGAGGTTAGTTTCGAGAGAGACGCGACATCAAACATGGTGTATGTTGGATAATGACAGACATCGCCAAAGTATTTTTTTCGCTAATCTATTGAACAAATCAACGATAAAGCCCTATGGAACTTCGTGATCACATTTTTCAGGGCTTAACAAATTGGCGTTCATAAAGCCTGTGTATAAGGCGATATTTCACTAATTAATTAGACACGAACGAAACCATAAAACTATTTAGCATTTCTTTTACAAATTCTGTTTTAAAATTTTTGATTATTATATCATATATTTAATTCGCTAGCACCTTGTCGTATTTTGGGCAAAAGTACTGCGGAGACCTCTTAAGCGGAAACGGAACCCCTGTATCTGTATGAATTTTTAGAATTGTGTTTGCTCCTACAATTATTATTTTACATCTACACTGAAAGAAATATCGTCATAATATCACAAAACTAAGTTCTCGCGCCAAATATGTCATCTCTTGAGGATAAATTTCTTGGGATAAGAATTCAGGATAACGTGTCAGGTAATGTCAGATTTCGGTGAAGTGTTTATGACTTGAACATTTCATGATAAAGTGAGAATTTCTTGCCACAAGAAATCGTTTTTTTTTCGTGTCAGAAGATGAGAAAATAATTTTTAAAAATTGAAAGCTTCAATTTGGTGAATCATGAATCAGAGACTTTCATATTGAATGAATAGAGAGTTTATGCAGAGGAAAACCACCAGATATTGAAAAAATATAACCGTCGCTTACGCTCAATCGCGTTGAGTTCGAAGAGAAGCAATATCTTCTTTTCCTTCTGTCAAGCTATTCTTGTCTTTGAAAGAATATTATCCCATTTAGAAAATAGACATTATCTTTTCATTCAGTAACTTCCTCCTTAGCTCGAAGAACACGGATTTCTCATCTGAAACCTACCATAAATTGATCAAATATGTATGCGATGTGTTTCGCTCAAGAAATGATTTTTGTGATATTATGTAAATTATTCTGTTAGTGTATGAAATTACTTTATCGACTCCCAGGTAGGAATTAACAAATGGCCCAAGCTTGGTCCAAGGGCGGCCCAACCTTAGCCAGTCACGGGCCAACACAGGCGCCTAAGGCTGGCCCAAGGCGGGTTGAGCACTGAAATGATAACGCTGGGCCATTCTTGGCCACCAAGACTGGGCCTGACTCGGTCGCCAGTCGTTAACTGTGATTAATGTATATTGATTTAAATGATTAAAAAAATCAAAAATAATTTTCATTCAATCATTTTTATGATTGATTATTTTCTAATCACCCACCCCTAACGCATCTTTCAATGAAAATCCCTAATTTGTTAATTTAAAATAATCCATCCTGAGCCGGTTGCGAACCCACGATCCTAACATCACCAGTCCTTAACCGCCTTAACCGCTAGTCTACCGCGTAATTCTTATTACTGTTGACTCAAATCGTCCATATATGAATT